TGTTGTGTAACTCACTTTTCTGCTGTTGCTTTACTATATATATTAAAAAATAACTTCAGCACAAGACGCTCTCAAACACCTGTTACTGGCCTCACCCAGTTATAAACCAACATCATTTGTTTTCTTCTCTTTAAGCCTAGTTTGCATCTTATTTTGCAATAAAATTTATTTGTGGGACAGAAAGACAGAGGTAAAATATGTAGAACTGTCACGCACAAATCGAGTCATTAGGTCATCCTAGTTAGAACTCTAAATCTTAACACTCACAAGGTTATGTTTATTGTGCCATGGTAATACATCAGAGCTGTGATACATTTTTAACTTCCTCTTAAATGATGGAAGTGAAATGATCGATCCTGGAGACTCTTTAGCAACTGACCAATCAGGGAAACAAAGTGAAACAGACCTCTGCTGGAGCGCTGCATCTCTCTCTATCTCAGACAACCTTGACAGGTTTTTACATCAACAAGGCATAGGAGACAGAGGAAATTTGCTAAGACATTAATAAAAGCCTAAAGGTTGTAACTAGCTTAACATGACTTAAATAAATTTGACCTACCTACTTTTCACTGTGTGAATGTAAGAAAGGATCCTATTTTAAAAAAAAGCTTGTTTTGTTTAATTAATTTCAAATGCATGTGATAAACTGCGCCCAAGGTAATGTGCTGCAAATATTCATGCAAATATGATAAAACATGATGCTGATTTCACCTTCTCGGTTTTGTAACCTCAAAAGGCGTCGGACACTACTTCACTCATAGTCAACCTTATTTTAGTCCCTAATTGTACTTCCTGTGGATGTTGAAAACCATGGGCTTTACTGTTGATTTTTCCGACTGTTGCGTCAGGTGTAGGAGTTTGCCCTGAAATCAAAGGGTTGACTGTTCAAGCCCCGGCTCCAGCTTCCAGTGTAGTTGTGTCCTTGGGCAAGACACTTCACCTGCACCCATTAAAGGGCCCATCAACTGAATGTAGTGTAAGTCTCCTGACTTGAAAAAAGTGCTATATAAGTACATGCCATTTAAATAACTTTACTGACTTGATGTAGAGAAAAACTTTGCCTATTGTCTTTGCCATAAGGTTTGCTGGTAACGCATCAAATTACCTCTGGTAAAGAGGTTAGCTATGGTTACACCATTCTGCCTTCTGACTTACATTTTCATGTAGGTGCAGCAATCTTGCAGTTTGCATCACATCAATTAGATTTTTCTGACTGGTTACTTACGTTATCTGAATTGTCGCAGGATTTTTTAATTTGCAAACTCTCGAAAATACAACTTGCAGGAGCCAGCAGATACGTTTACCTTGATAAGTTTCAGACCAATGAAATGGATTGAAGTGCATCAACGAATCAAGCAGAGGCGGAAGGCTGAAGCAAAACAAAGATGGCTGTGCCAGTTTCGGGGGAAATTCCCTCGGTTTCTTTTTGAATAATGAGCAAATGAAACTTCTACTGCTGCTGTGATTGGGTACCTGCCTCCCATGTCGTGTTTTTAGCCAATCAGCTCAAAGAGTTAAACTGAACGTCAGGGTTACTCAAACATCTATCTTCTTAATGTAGGCTTAGCGTAGATGTTCAAAGAAACGTGTATTATGAAGGTGTTTTAATAAACCTTTTTAAACATCTGCTGACCATTTTGTCTTTAAAAGTTCAGTTCTATCTACTCTCATTCCTTCTTTCTAGCTTGGGGCTATGCTATCTTATTTCTTTTCATTTCTCATCTTTTTCAGCTAATAGCTGGTTTTACAGCTGTTCATTTATATCTATACTGCCATCTTCATTAAAACCTGACACATTCTTCATCTGTGCCAATTTATGTCAAATTAAAATGTAATTTAGTTTTCAGGCAAGATCTTACATTTTAGCTTTAGTAGATAATTAACATGAAGTCTGTAATATCTCTTATCTTCAGACAGCAGTCTAGTTGTCTTGAAAGATATCAAAGATCACCTGAAAAATAAATCTCGATAATTGGGTTCAACAGTTTCTTTAATTGTCCTGCATGTGACTTCACTTACTGTCACCATTAATGATTTGTAATTTAAAAGTGACTTTTTTGGGGGGGAAAGAAATTATCTGCATAAAGATGGAATAACTTGTTAGAAAACGATTTTTTTTATACTATTGTAACGCTCTTTTAAAGAACTTGCTGTGGAAATAAAAGTCTTGTACCTTTTACTATTCAAGAGAATAGGAAATTGGGACTTAATAACTATAAAAATTAAAAATGATTGGATAAAAGGGTCTCTTGTAGAGTTTCCCTGATCAGGATTTTTTCTGCCGATCCTAAATATAATCCCTGCCATTTCAGATCACTGCAGATGGATCACATGGATTGGCCATTAATTTTTGGGTACAGGTATAAAGGCCGCTACTGGCTTATGTGACCTGGCAAACTTGAAGCATAACATCATTTAATATTTACAAAACTTAGCAAAAATTTGCTGGCACAATGCAGCAGGTATTCAGTCGAAAGGACAAATGAAAAACATGCCTTTGATAATACAATATGCAACAGAATAATAAACGTTATGATCACCTTCTTTTTCTATCGTCCAGATAATCATAATAGGACGATTTTCATCGGTGGCTGATCGATCAGCTTCCCACTAGCATCTGATAGGCATTGTAGAGCATTTAAAACAAACTGAAGACAACCCCGCCCAGTAAAGTAGTTATTTTACTTTGGTTCTTTTCATAGCTTTGGTAGTTAGATAAATATAAAATAATTCATTAAGCTATTTAAGGAATAATATTTTCTTTGGCTGTGTGTTGGGTCAATGGTCTTGCTTGAAGATGTTTATTTTTATCTACATTTTCTTAAAACAGTTTTTGATGTTATAGTTCATTGTTCCATGTATTCCTTCACGCATATCAAGCCTAGCAGTAGGACAGTCCACATCATTTTATTTCCATTTGCAAATCTCACTTTCAGTGTTATGTTTTTGGGAAGCTCTTTCAAATCATCCGTCTTTCAAAACATGATGTTTGCAATGACATCCAAGGCGTTTGCCTTTGCGCTGATATGACCGTATTCTTCCTGCTTTTCTTTTACTTGTCCAAATCTTCTGAAGTAAGCTTAAAACAACTCTACTTTGCTTCAGCAGTGGAATACAGAGACCTGCCATTTTTGGAGAGAGAATTTATAGTGTGTAAATTTATATCTTGACCATGCTATCCTTGTGCCACACAATTCTCTAGATATCATTATGCATTAGTGTGTTGCTGTGTCTTCAGAATTTCCAGCTATTTTCAGAGTAGCTTGGTTTCTGTCATAGCGTGACAGTTTTATCAAAGTTATGCTTTCTTTAAACAATATCAGCAGTGACTGGAGTTTGAGAAGAACATTGTCACCCAGGAGACAGTCAGTCACACAGACAGATGTGCACACTTTCACTTTGTATTTTGCACCTTCATGATCTTAAAAAAAATCTGTTCAAATGGAAGAAGCAAAAATTTTGTCAAGACAAGTATGATGCCTAAAAAGCCTCATCGCTGTTATCTGGACTAGAAGCCTTTTGCTCATTTCCCTTTCTAATTAAGATGTCATATTTTGTTTTTTTTTAACTTCACAGAATGACACTAAACATTTTCAACGTTTCAAAATAAATGAGTATGAAATGTTTTGTTTTTTGGTCTGCATTTTTTTCCCACTGAATTTCCAGTTACCACCCAAGGAGCTATGAACTAATTAAGATCTGAATAAACATACTGTTTGGAATAATTTTATACACCCGTGCTGCGTCCACATGATTTAGGAGGCTATAATCAACAGCTTTAATAAATGTGTTTTTGCAAACAGGTTTTAGAGACATTACAAACTTGGTTTTCCTCTCACTCGAATTCTGAGCAAATTAATCAAATATGAAGGATTTATCTGAGAAACTATATAAAAAAAAAAAAAACAAGAGTTCTATCTCATACCTTTTAGGTAATATGCTCTGCTACAAGTTATTGCTGCCAAAGGCGTATCTATAAGCATTGAAACCCCTAGGCCTTTTTTTCCTTATTTGAAAAATGCATACTGTAGAAATATATTTTTGTGCAAAATTTTAAAGATGCATGTTTGAAAACTACTTTTGGAAGTTATTCTCAATGAGCCTCTGCTGAAAGTTCTAAATTCATATGTGTATATGTGGTGTAAGCTGCATATTGGATCAGGGTTGGTCTTCAAAGTATTCAACATGTCAAAGTTCAAATTTAACCAGCCGTCTCTTAAATTTGAATTTTCATCACAGAGAAATCCACCCTTTCATCTTTTGGTATGTAGGTCTGCACAGGCCAGCTTCAACATTCAACAGCAGGGAAGATAGGAGATGACTGAACTTTTCTCCAAATAATTTGTGCCTACAAATGTAACATAAATACCAGAAAGAGAGTTGAATACTGGCGTTTATTCTGATGCATATATATAGTTTGTGATTTAGTTGTCTGCATCAGACCAGCGAGCTGCTCCTCATATCTTTTTATGTTCCTTCATACTTTTTCATTTGTCATTTAACTATTCTGTGGAAACATTTTTGTTAATAGTTCCTCTCTTAATGACTGACTCCATTCTACACAGAGACATTTCACTGACTTTGCAAACTAGTTATTGCAATGGGCTTTTTAAACAAATTAAAGTGATGCTTTGTCCTGTTTCTGTTCTTCTTCATAAGCACCCTGCTATGATTCTCATTTGTTCAATCTTTACTTTGCTCTTTGGATTGTTGCATTTTCTAGGAAAATTGGGCTGCTGCACTGCTTTGAGAACATTGTTTTAGAGCTGACCGTCAAAGAGCATCATTGCTGCATTAGCCTAGTGAGATAGTTATGGAATTCTTAATGTTTACAAAGACAATATCTTGCACACATGGCTGCAAATGTGTGAAATGTATTTTAATGAAGATGTTGATTCTGACTCAGGCTGAACAAAAGTACCTTTTATGGTCACTGTTCATTCAAAGTAGCGTCAAAGCTGTTGACTGATGTGTTCTCTCAACCTCTGTTTGCTTTCCAGAGTTACGTAAGCAGGTGGAGAGCTCCGAGCTGAAGAACCAGAGGCTAAAGGAAGTGTTTCAAAAAAAGATTCAAGAGTTCCGCACAGTCTGCTACGTCCTGACTGGTTACCAGATAGACCTCACCACCGAGAACCAGTACAGGCTCACCTCAGTCTATGCAGAACACATGCATGACTCTCTACTCTTCAAAAAGGTATGCAAAATTACAGTGCAAACTGAGTCCATAATCAAGCTAACATTTTATTATCACTGACTACCTTCAAAATTAGTTAGAAAAAGCGAAATGACTCAAATTAGTCATTATCTTAGTCTCAGAATGTACAAATAACGATTGCACCATCCTGCTCAGCTGCAGTATATAATAAACCACGTTATTTCAGGGTCCATTTACTGGTCAGTGACACAGCCTTTGTAAGCATATGCCCTGTGGTCATAGAGGGAAAGCTTCAAATGAGAAGCTACAGCTGCCTGTCGTATCTGTTTCAGTGTTGATACTTGTCTCTTTTAGCTGAGAACATGAGTGGAAGATTTTGGTGTGAGTGATGTGCAGAGAGTCAGAGTGGTAATAGGACAGTGGCACAGGGCTATAATCGCTGTCTGACTCCCTGAACACTTATTGAGTGTGTTAGATACAAACTGTATGTGATTGTCCCTTAGCTGTTGAGCAAATCCTTTACTTAAGTAGCTTTGGGGGGAGCAGGGGTGTCCCTCCTCCACTCCCACATCTTTGTCTCTTCTCTTCTTCTCTCCTTCCTGTGGCATGCACATGTATCCCCTTTATCTCTCCATTTTTATCTTCCCAATTTTCTTTGTTAATCTGATTTGAGCTTGTAGCCGTTGGTAATAACTGCGTTGTTGGTTTGGTGATTGCCAAACTGTGGGGAAATAATTCTGGCAAGTTACTGGGCAGTTTAGATATCTTGGTAGGTAATTCATGTCTTCCTCAAGGGTATTTTAAATACTGCCATGCTAAAGTGTGACATAAAAATATAAATGGTAAGATCAGAAGGAGTGAATGTGTGTATTGGTGTGTATTTGTCATTATTGCCAGAGTGCCATATTCACCCACCTGAGACCCTGCTTGAGGAGATAATTTTCTGTCCGTATGTATTAAACTCAGACTGTTTCTAAGAATGGAAATAAACACACTCTGGTAATGTCCTCCTGGTGAGCATTTTCCCTTTCATGCTGGAGTGCTCCCATGTTAGCCTCATTCTCAGCCTCTTTGATACCAACCTCATCAGCTAACAATCCCTCCATGCACATGTACAGTGATCCATGCACAAACCAAAGAGATGCTAATGCCTTTTATATTAGTATTCATTGTGCATTAAATGCATGTAGCTGATTTTCGAACTAGGACAGTAGGGGTACCACAATTGTTGCACAGAAAATAAACATGGGATCACTTATTCATGTTCCCAGTGAAGCTTTATGATGGAAAAAGAAAAAAGAAACAGTAGTTGAAAAAAAGTGGAGTAAACAGATTCCTGAGAGTTGGTTTTAAACAGACTGCTCAACAGCTGATCAAAATTTTAAGACCACAGCAATTTAATGTTAAAATCAGAGCCTCAGCCTGGCTTTCATCTATTTTGTCTGGCAGGTACTTTGTCACGACTCCTGTCATTGAAAAGGGCAGAATTATTCAGCTGTACAAGCAAGGTCTCTCCCAGCATTTAGTTGTTGTTGAGGTAAAAAAAAAGAAAGCAGTAGACATTTAAATAAGTTTGAAAGATTTATATGTTTGTTAAACTGTCTGAATAAAAAAAAAAACATTTTTAGTAATTCATCCACTGATGTATTTTCTTTCCTGCTGCTGTGTCATCTTATTGCCTTTTTATTTTCTTCCTACAGCCTTATTGCAGTCCAGCAGTGGGAAAATTGAAGGCTTATAACATTTTACCCAGGTTTAAGATTTTAATCAGATGTGTGTGTGAAGGCGGTTATAAAGTATGAGATAAAAACATTATTGACATCTCTTATTTTAATCTGAGGTGAGGGAATATAGATTTTAATGACTGGATAGTCAGAAGATGATGAGAAAAACCTTGGGATTTTGAACAGGAAGCAGAGAAGTCCTTACAAATAGGATTCTAGCGTTCTTCACCTTAGCAACAGTGTTGCCAGATAATCCTGCTAATATTCCCCTCCAGCAGAGGCAACCAAATCCCCCTTCTATGATATAAGCTGTTTAACTGGCCCCAGTCACGTTCCTCTACCTGTTGTGTGTTAATGAATTCATGTCTGTGTGACTCTGATTGAAATGTTTTCACCAACCTTCGGTTAAAAATATTTTTCATCCTCTTACACCACCATTGTTTGAGGATAATATGTAAAATTGATAAGCAAGATTCTTTCCTCGGCATGTGCAATATCGGCCTCATTAGGTGACAGCTAAAGACATTTTTAAAAAACCTCTTTCCACCTTTCTTTAAGTCTTGTTGCAACACTTAGCATCCTTTCACCATTAAAACCCAACAACACCATGAAGCAGGGTGAAAGCCCATAAATAATAACAGAAACAAGATTATTGCTCCTAACTTCTTGAACTTTAGCATAGTTGCATACTGACAAAAGGAATTGCTTAGCTATGGCATTATGCAGTATGTAGGGGAACAGATATTTGTCAACCTTGTCTGCAAGCTGAGTTTTCACAGTAATTGTGAGTTTGCAAATGCAACAGAATCAATTTTGTACAGCTTCAACTGTTCAAAAATGACTTAAAATGGTTTGGCCAGTCTGGTGGTAGTATTATGGTTTTAGGCGGGACGTATTTCTCTTGAGGAGAGCAAGAGCTGCCGAGCCCACAGCCAAACCAAAATAAAGATGGCAGTGTAGCTGATGCCATCACATCCTGTCATAATCCATTTCGTATTTGAAAGATGATCAGCAAGAGCGTTAAAAGTGAAGCTTGTTGTGGTTTCTCATGGCTTCTGCAGACATTTTTATTTGTGTGCACAGCTCACCTTTGCAAAGGATCACAAGTGTCTCGTTTGAGTTTCTGAAACTGATAAATAGTTTTTGAAACCAGAATAAAGTGCAGCCGATTAGACTTGTCTTATAAACATATCTCAGCTTCTCTTTATTATTCCTGATTCTTTTAATTTAATTTAATTAGTTATGGTCATGATTCGTAATGTTTGTAACATTTCAAAGTAGCTAGGCTCTTGATTAATGCTCCTTTTCTAAAAGTGAAAAAAAATCCATCTTCAGTTTACGCAGTTTGCCTTGACTGCATTTGCAAAAATATTTTTATCGGATGGTCTTGGAATGAAAAACAAGTACTAAAAAAAAACTTTGGTCCTCAGATCCATGATTCAGAATTTTTTTTATCATCTTTAGCTAAACTGTGCTGCTCTTAGGTAGGGCTGGGTACCGAACTTCGGTTCTTTTATGGTACCGACCGAAATGCTTCGGTTCTACAGAGTATCGAAACATGCCTCGTCTTTCGGTACCAAGTTTTGGTGATTGGCTTTAACACTTAACATGATTGCGTCATCCAAGAAAAATACACAGTTGGTCACGCCTACAGCCAGGGTTCATGTGTATCTGTTGTGAACTGGATGCGAGCGTCGTAGAACCCCTTTAAAACGCCCCCCCCCCCAGGTCAAAAGTGCGGCTTCACTTTATTAACACTGATGCCAATAGTGCGCAATGCAATACATCGTGCACGGAAACAATTTAAGAGCAGAAAGTTGCTCGGTGTTTGACTGCAAGAAGAGCGGACCGCAGCCAGCGCGACCATCCTCCTCTCAGCAGCCCGTGGGCACTGCAAAGCCAGAACGGAGTGAATCATGCTGCTTTCAAACTGGACGCAGCAGGAGCAGCAAAATCACGTCTGCTGCTTCCTTTTTTGCTGCTTGTACCAGTTAGTTCTGACGCGCGGCTGAAGAAGCTTTGCTGCTCTGGCTGCGCGGTCGAAAAGTGGCTCTGACGCGCGTTGGGCGGAGCTACTCTATCCTTTCTCTGCCTTGCAACTATATTTGCTGTGATCAATGGGAATAAAGTAGTTTTATTATATTTTTAAGTGGGAAAATCCACCTGAAAACTTAATCAGTGCAGTCAGTTCATCCTGCCTTCCAATATTTCTGTCGGAGCCGCTCAGACCCCCACATACCAGCGGTGCTCTGTTAGTAGGATCCCATTCAACGGGCTTGTTTGTCAGACATGGTAATTTTTTTAAAGGAAAACTGCTAAGTTAAAAAGGTCCTCACAATGTACCAGTGAATATTAGACACTGATTTTTTTTTTTTATGTAAGAGGAAAAATGTAAATGGAAAAATCTGAGCTTAAAATAAAACTCAAGATTTGTACTTTTTTATGTTGTGTAATTTTCTTTTTCTTCAAATTGATATTATAAAACTGGTATTGAAAAAAGTATTGTTCAGGAACCGGTATCGAAGTGAAGGTATCGGTATTGGTACCGGAACCGAAAATTTTTGAACAATACCCAGCCCTACTCTTAGGTCACATCCTCTCTTTGAGCTGTTGGTCTGTATGGACAGACTTGCTCTCCCACTGCCAACTAACCACTCCAGTGTGCCGATAAACGGTGCCAAGATCACATATTTAGTTATGTGTACTGAGCTTAGCATGCTTGTCTTTCAGTGTAGTTGGGTTAAATTTTTAAGAGGTTACTCATTACACTGTAGTATTAAATATTTAACCAATTCAAATTTTATTTAACTTCTTTATCAGTTGATAAAAATGTGATTTTTTTTTTTTTTTTTTTTGGTTTGTATAAGAGAATGTCTGCACTGTCATTCTGGTCATAGATAAGTTTTGAAAAGGAGGAAAGGAGGATTGTTTGAAAGACTTTCTTAAGCTTTGTGAATTTCAAATGCTTATGTGTGATAGATTTGATCAGACATGATGAAGTCTGAAGCATGCTAGATTGATGTGCGTTTACCTGTTTGACTGGCTAATCCACAGTAAACAGTAAGTATTGATATCTGGATCCAGTACTAATTTGGCAGAGTATCGATATAATACTAAAGTCATGTTTGGATACTTTTGCTATTGTTAATTTTACATGTCTGGATTATTTACATATTTACACATAGAATAATAAGGAGAGTTAGGAGATGGTGGTAGGAAGTTTCCCATTTATGTGGGTTATTTCAAATTTTATTAACCATTTTAAGTCTACAGTGTGGCTTTCAAGGAATTTGATCTTGTTGGCACCTCACTACTTTTGTTTTTGATCAATTTTAACACCATTGCCAGAATCCTGTGATTCTTTTAACAGCTAGC